TCCTTCTCTTGCTTTTTATCTGCCTGTAGATTCTCTCTTACTCTCATTTGGACCTGTTTTTATGTGGCTCATGATAAATTTTGTCTCTTTGAGGGAAGAGCCAAGAAGAGAAAGTAAACTGCCTGTGATTGGCTGCTTTTCAGGAAACCCGCCTTTTAAAACAGTACTGAATTTCTCCTGGTTGCGGCCAGTAATATTCCCAAAGCATATTCAGGCTAATAGCTGTTCTCTTCAAGAGTTTAATTCTGACTTCATACCCAAAAGCATCGCTGTAATCAAAGTTTTATAAAAACAATGTTTAAATGAAAGGAAAACTGTTTAACGGCAGCTGACGACGGATTAGAAATATAAATGTTTGTGCTCAGCTATAAACAACAGTTCAAAGCCTCACTTTTCTTAATATAAACAGTGAAACATCAGCTTAGCTCATATGACGCTCCCAATTTAACATGAATCATTTCAGAGCATATTGCTGCTGCTGTCAGAACACATTCATGACTATTGAATTATTTAATGATGTCTTTAATTAACCAATTTTTAGCTCTTAAGAAAACAACAGTTAGCCTAAAGATGCTTTACTAACATTACAAGCCACATCTTACATAAGGATACTTTATTGTTTCTTTTAATTTTTTATTTTCTTTTAGATATTGTCCTTTTGATATCTCTATAAATGCTTAAATGTTCTACATGTGTGACAGACTGGCAACCTGTCCTGCAGGCGATAGGCACCGATGTAGGTACCAGATGTGCTCGGGGCCCTGTCCTTTCTTATGTCGTCATGATATGATAAGGTGACCAGATTTCTGCAATCTAATCTGGGGACATTTCCAGCTCATAGATAAAAATAAATACATTTTATGAAAACTAAAATAGGAAACAGGGACATTGATGTTTTCATCCATTTTTACATATTTATTAATATTTAAACAAAAAATCAAGTGTAAAATCCAGGAATGCAGCTCCTCCATTTCCTAAGATAAATAATATGAATCAATCAATAGTGTTTATTAGTGCCATCTGGTCATTCAGTCTTCTATGTCTTCTTCCCTTGTGAGCAACATAACATTGTGTTCAGGCCAGTTTGCATCAATACAGAGTCTGGGGCAATTTTCCTCCTTTTCCATTCCAAAAAATTAAATTGAAACTTTTTTATATATATCTGCAAATTGAAAAACATATTTTATTTCTACATAATAAAAACTGTAAAATGAAATGGCCTCCAGTTGTTTATACTGTATCCTGGACAGCTGCAGTGCATTGGGTAGCCTCCAGCAGCCTGTATTAAAATCTGTGTCACCATTAAAAAAGTTACATTAGATTTTTATATTCAGATTAAATTACAACCATTAAAAGCATCTATAACTCTGGATCATTCTCATGAGCAGCTTGAAGCAGCCACACCAGAAATAAAGTTTTGTCATTACACTATAGATGAATGAAAAATAATCTCTCAGGGTCAGCATAAAAATAATGTGTCCTTTAATAAAGTTATAGTGAAACCTAATGGAAATATATATTTAAACAATCCTAAAACTATTCATTCATGTGTACTTAGATAAAGCTGTGCTTTTTGTTTTAAAGAAGCTGTTATTATTTTGATAGGATGTAAATGTTAAGATTATATGATCCTATTATCCCTGTTACAAAAATCCACAACAAAAATAAAATATGGGGGCAGAAACTGAACATATGCTGGATGCTGATTTTTGTAATATGTCATATTAAATTAAGTGTTTACTTCCGCATGTTTTGCTCCTATGAATTTAATAATATAGAGCATGCTCTCCTTGAGCTCCGAGGAAGTCGGAGCGCAGTAAGACGGGACAAGGTGAAGCTGCATCCAGCCGGGTTTGATAATGATCTTCCTCGTCTGATTTAAAACTGGAGCACTCTGCTCCAAATCTATACGTTAACAGCTGTTTCTGTGCGCATGTTCTACCATAATAACAGTTTACATTTTCCCCCTCATTCATAAAACCGTAAAATCAGGGACATTTCCGGGGACAGCTTTAGCCGGGGACAGGTGGACGAAAACGGGGACTGTCCCGGGAAATCGCAGACATCTGGTCACCCTACCCTTAGCAAAAAGTAGTTTATTCAAGTATACGGAAAGTGCACTAATTTCATACTTTAAATCAGGCAGTGTACTTAGAGTTTACTTATTCTAAACTATATTTCATATCCTTAAAGGTACACTATGCAACCGGTGTTGATTTTCCAGTGAGGCTCCCTCCAGAGGGCGAAAGTAAAAGTGCACTGTCGTAAATATGCNATATGATCCTATTATCCCTGTTACAAAAATCCACAACAAAAATAAAATATGGGGGCAGAAACTGAACATATGCTGGATGCTGATTTTTGTAATATTTCATATTAAATTAAGCGTTTACTTCCCCATGTTTTGCTCCTATAGTATAGTATAGTCAAGTGAACTTGACTATACTATTGTTTACTTTATTGTTTACTAAAGTATACTTTAAGTATACTTTAGTAAACTTAAAAATGTCCCAATTTAGTTCGAAGAAGCATTACTTTAGTAATACTTCAGGTACACTAAAGTACATTGTCCGGGTATACTTTCTAAACTTATACTTATACTTAGGTATTCTTAATAGAATTTACTTCAAGTATACTACTTTTTACTAAGGGTATGATATAGCAATGCCACTCGGACAAAATATATAGAACCGGTTTCCTAAGAATAATATTTAAACTAGAGTCTCAACATATTATTACCCATATTTGCTGTTATTTTACGTTTCATCTGTGATCTAAAGTAGCCAAAACAATCATTCTTTTTTAAAGAAAAGCACTGCCTTTTAAGACAGACTGAGCTATGTTATTTAAGGCGACACAACAAGCCTCAGAGCTTCCTTTAATTAAGATCTGAGGGCAGAGGAGGACAAATGGAAACCCTTAAAAATGACTTTTGTTGAGTATTTAGACAAAGAAAACAGTTTTTCTACTTGTAGAGTATGGAAAGTTGTGGTTGACACAAAGTTAAAAGCTGTGTAGCTTAATATGGCTAACTGACAAAGCTAAAAGATGCTAACCTGTTAGCTACTGAGCACAGGTAGCTACAATGCTACCCAGCTCTCCCTATTTATATCAGGTCTAATAGTTACTTTGGTCACCATAAAAAGATTTTTTCATCGTTGTTATCAATCAAGAATTGAAGAATAAATTTCATCAGTCATTAGACACGCTAACATTACAGATGCTCATGTGGCAATATTCAGCCAATCATATAGAGTAACATCACTGGAATGCGCAGGGCCTGAACAGATCTGGTATTAACACTGGCCGCAGCTCGACCCTGACGGGATAAGCGGGAGAATATTGATGGATGGATGATCTACATGATTAATATGATGAAATGCTCTCTAAATGATTAAACAACAAGAGCAACTGAATAAAATAAAATTTCAAGCATAGCCCACTGGTGAGTTGCTGCTGTGTTTTCAGAAGAGGGGACCCCATTAGTCCTTGAGGGCCCATTGATGGCTGCAGGCACAGCATTGGTGACCCCTGGTTTAAGACTATGTGACTGGTCGTAGGAAATATAAAGTTTCCGTGAAACTAATATCATCACTGACATGAAGATTGAAGTTTGACTTTTTTTTTCCTTCAGCTTCTACATTTTAAAAATGTATTTTAGCCTTAATTGGTTTTTCTTTAAAGTTTGAATGATATTTTTCGGTTTCAAAATCTTTTATCTCAGTTTTACTTAATTTTTCATTATAAAAAATAAAAGTTTTAAACAAACTTTATCCCTACAATTTAGTTCCATAAAGGCTCTCCCTTCTACTACTGAATCGACCAATCACAGCACAGGAAGTGGGAGTTAAAGCCCTGCTGCAAACTGTAACCACAAAGTCAACAATGCAGCTAAAAGGGATTTTAATGATGCCCTTTATTATGCATTGGATTAGCTGGGTAATCCTTATAATTTCAAAAGCTGGCTGATGGAAGTGCTTTTATTTTAATAAAAGATGTTTTTGTGTCACATCTGTAGTTATCTGATTGGTTCTAACCCGTCTTTGCTGACTCTGTTAGTCTCAACCTTGATATCCTCTATCAAAATGGATATCTTATTGAGAATTTGTGAAGACAACTAAAATATTTTGTTCATGGATCTATATATTCACCACTCATTCTGACTGAGCTTGAGATGCTTTGGAAAGAAAACTGGGAAGGAAAACATCTTAGTGTGGGAAGCTTGTCCTAAAAGACCTACAGCCATAAATGCAGAATGAATGAGTTGACAAGAGACAAAATGAACGAAGTAAAAACTTTTAATGGGTGCTATGTGTAGGGATTAAACAGGGATCTTTGTATTTAAGCAGCCCTCCAGAGGAATATAAAATAGAAATGAGTGTGCATATTAGTGGAGAAGTTAATGAAAGTTTAGTTTATGAATCCACAGATGGACTCATGAGGGAGCCTAATTGTCCCAGATTCAAGGCAGAAATAATCTTATTGTAAGAAAGAAAAAAGTTAACTTTGAAGAAACCAAAATTAATCTTGTGAATTAAATGGATTGTGGACATGAGGTTCATTCCTTTTGTTTAATCATTCAGTTCGGAGGTAACGACATGAGGGCCGAGGTTCCACCCCAAGAAAAAATATTAGCTCATCTTAACTTTTCATCACAAAGTAAATCACTGAACAAGACAAATGCTTATAATTTAATTTCAGCTGTTTTATCCTTTAGTAAAATTTATTTAATTTGATAAAACCACTTTTTATGATGAACTGAACTAATTAGATAAAAATGTATTAAAACTTTGTTTGGCTTTTGGGCTTTAAAAGTGCTGCATCAGGGAAGAAATATACTGTTCTAAGCTTTTCTATTGATTATGCTTCAATCTGTTATGCGGTGGGTCATAAATCAGAAACCAAAGGAAGGCTCCAGAGAATCTGAGCTTCTGGCCCACGCTGGGTTAGACAGAGCCCTACCTGTATACAGTGTGGAGATAACCAGCTGAGACACTCACCCTAAAGAACTCCTTAGTGGAGCCTGAGTCTAGAGTGCCGTAGGCGATCTCCGTCTGCTTAGCCAGGTCCTCGGCGCTCTCAATCGGAGAGACCATCCTCTCCACAGTAAGGAAGGCAGCAAGGTTGGCCGTGTAGGAAGAGATGATGATGAGGGTGAAGAACCACCACACTCCCCCGACAATACGGCCGGACAGAGACCTGGGATGAGGAGGAGGAGGAAGAAAGAGAGAAGCAGACACAGACATGAGAGCAGGGTGCTCAGATCGACATGTGGAGGAGGAAGGGATCACTTCCTATTGTGTCTGCCTCACTACAGAGATTAATCGCTTGGTGAGAATGATATAAAGCTTCATTAACTGAATGTGACTGTATCTGAAAGTAGTTTAGAAGTTTTAGAAGGTTTGAAATCATCCTGAATAGTCAGGAAGCCGAGGAGAATAACAACCTGAATCGAGTGGCCTGACCTCTGCTGTCATGCTTCCTGTGACTCCAAGATATAAAAACAGGAATATATTTTCTGATTTTTAATTAAGATGAGAGACAAGTTATTGTCTTTGGACCAGAGCCTTTGTAAAAGAAGCTGATTATTCAGTAATTACATTCTGATGGCATTAAATGGCGCTTCTATAATAATGTAAAAAAGCATTGGTGATATTTTTGATTCAGACTTAGACATATAAACTTCATATTAAACATTTTTAAAGAATTTCTGGTGGCTCTGGTTATCCTGAGCTATGTCTATAGTTTTGCTGTTATTGGCCTACACTGCTGGAGGACATAGGGACCACATTTTATAACTCTTCTTTATTCCACTTTTATTCTCTAATTTTGCATCATTTGTAAATTGTTCTTTTTCTTTTCTTAGTACTAAGTACTAAAAAATGTACTAAATGTGCAGTGTTGTTGTTGCATGTGATGGTACAATATTATTTAAAACTTATTTAATCTAATTGAACTATCCGAGGGTTAGTCCCTTTAAGAGTTGGTGTTAATCCACAGAGTTTAATTGAAGCAACGCTGTTAACTGTTAATTTTAAGATCAACACTTTGCAGCTAGAAGTTGTGGTGAAGGTTGCAGGAGTACGTCCCACAACCGGAGGGTCACTAGTTTAAATTCCAGCTCAGTCCATCTCAGTTGTTATGTCCTTGGGCCAGACACTTCACACACATTGGCACTGATGGGGCTCAGAGGGCCAAGTGGTGCCTGTGTACATCAGCCTGGCTTCTGTCAGTAGGCAACATTTCAGCCTTTGTTTCTCCATCTGAGGAAAACTACTGATAGTGTTGAATTCTTATTTGTCTGACAGAACTCAATCTGCTTCGACTGTTATGCTGATTTATGAGTTTATAAGCCTGTGACTTTTGAATATGGATCTAGTTTGTCCAAAATGGAGGTCTGTGTTTCAGCTGTAATAAAAATTGGTTTTCAGATAAGTTCCTGTTCCTAAACTCAGCAAAGACAGAGATGATGATCAGAAACTGCACCTTCTGTTTGATGTATTTCTTTTCTGTTGACAAACCAGTTTTAAAATGTACAGACAATATTTAAAACCTTGGTGTTATATTTAATCACACAACTTTAAAGGTGAAGTTGACTATTTTCCTTTTCTGGGTGGATCATCAAAATAAGTGGTCCTCCCTATTGTCCATCATTCTGGTGATATATTTAGGTAAGGCCGTCCTACGTGTTTGTCCCACATTTTCACTTACTGGTGGTGAGTCTGGCATAGCGGAAAAATTACAAAACTTTTGGAAAGTACGCTTGTATAAGTGATGCAAACAGCCACTTTTAAACAGAGGGTGCATGAGGAGAAATGGGCTCATGCACGCTCTCGCACGTATTTAATAGGTGTTCCCTCTCAGGAGCGGGTACAGGGTTGTGCTTGTGCATTTTTTTTTAAGTGGAAAGGGTGGGTCTGTAAAAAAATTCACAAAAATTAACCACTATACATTGAATTTGATACTTATACAGAGAGTTTGAGAAAACAAAATTAAGCCAATTATGCTCACAGCACGATATCACATATTTTCTGGTCTGTGCGGTTCTTAAAATTAGTGTTTTTGTCACATATTTTTAAGAATAAAAATACAGAGTTCCAGGTTGATCATTTACCTTTTGCATGACTCTGTTGCTCTTGATAAGATAAACATATCTCTGCAGGACAAATGACCTTAGCCACCTGTACTGGTTCATAAGATGTAATATTTGACCAATCTGATTATTTACAGTTTGAAACAATTGAAAAGGTAGCTCTATATGAGATACATCTATGTTGGAAACTCAAGCAAATGAAGTGACTGGCGGACAGATGAATGAATGTGTGGCGAACTGGATGAAAATGAGGTTCTGTAATATAAGTAATCACACAAAATACTTAATATGCGCCAAGATGATGACCGTAAAATGAGACATGCAGCAAAAACACGGTAGCCCTCCAAGAATCGTGAGGAAGTCCAGCTGTTACTTTGCATAAATCTCAATGACCCCAGTGCATTTTACAGCCCTCAGCATGGTGGATAGAAGTTATTTTGTGGACAGCGGGCATCACTGCCAGCATGCAGCTTCAGAACAGATGAGTGAGCAGAAGAGGAGGGATTCTTGCTCTGAGAAATGGGAGGAAGGGGCGATGGAGTGGAGCATGAGGTTAAGTGGGCAGCAGAAACAACAAAGCTCAAAATAACCCATATGCACCACTGCAGGATGGAAAAGCATGTATGGGACTATAAAATGCAAAGAGATGATATGATTAGGCATCTGGAGGGGGTGGTGGTGGAGAATGAGCACAACAACCAACCTTGGTGAGATATCGCATCCTTGCTGCATGAAGGCACCCAGGGAGAACCACAGGCTATTAAAAATCCCAAAGTCGTTTGGAGGGTCAGGGGGGCTCTGAGGGTCTTTGGCCTCATCGTTCTCATCCAAGTGCCACTCATAAGGGCTGAAGCGGCTCACCAGGAAGAGCACCACGCTCACGCCGATATAGGCAAAAACTATGCACATCCAGATCTCATAGGCCAGAGGGTCCAGGAAGGAAAACACTCCTGGCTTAGACTTTTGAGGCTTCTTTATCATAATAGAGATTCCCAAACTCATGAAGGGTTTCGAGAAGTCTATCACTTCTTCCCGCACCAAAGTTATGGTGAGAGGAGCCACGGCTATATCAGCTCTCTGTAAACATGAAAGCAGGCAGGGGTTAGTCTTACAGGAATAACCATAAAAAACATCAAGCAAGGCTATAAATATTAAACACTTCAAAGAAATATCGATTAAATGCAAAACCAAACCAACACAGCTTTGCAATGCATTTCTGGAGTAAAAAGGCCTGAAGAAATGCACCTATTAAGCATATATTGAACAGCAGACGTGTTAAAAAGCCGGTTGGAGCAAAGGGGCCATTTGGAAATGAGTCTCTCAGCATTTGTGTTGCTAAATGTCTTTGTCTCAATCCAAATTTCTGTCATGAATCAAAGCGAGAGTCAGAAAACAGAGGAGGGAGCTGATGCAAGCAGTTCATAAATCCTCCAGCTTGCCTGAAAGATACTCTGCAATGCCTCACAGACATGCAATTAGTATTAGAGACCGCGGTGACAGATGTTGAACGCAAAGTCAGTCAAAAAGCTGCGTTCCGGCGTTCATTCATCAGCTAGGGAGCTGATTAACATCAACACAAATGTAGAGGCCTTCTTACAGCCATTTCAGTTACAACAGGGCGGCATGTCTGTAGATCTAATCCAACGAAAACTCACACGGAAACATATGCAGAGTCTGCAGACACATATCGCAAATTCTGCAGTGACATTCCATGCATGTCTTTTTCACTCTCCTTCTCTGAGTTAGATTTCCAACATTACTCATTCAGCAGCTGAGGTCTCATAAAAGATGCATATCGTCCTTTTGGAGCCAGGTTCAATTGCAAATATCCCTGAGCTGCATGATAAAAACAGTACCATAGGTTTAAGATACAAAGCTCAAAAAGGCTTCAAATAGAAAGTTGCTCGCAGAGAAAAAGGAATGCACTTTTACAAACCTTTTCACACATCAAATATGCTAACTTCTTTTAATTTATTGGTCCATCTTCCACCACAAAGTGACCATGAGTCATGATGTTTACGCAAATACAGGGTTTTCTCACTGCATACCATATCATGATAAATACTATTAGTAATAGAAGGCAGGGTGCCTTATGGTGAAGATAAAATAGGGAAAAGCTCCAATCTTCATTTTCCAACCAGTACAGCCTGATTGAAAGTCAGAGCTGCTCTTCTGAGGATGAAGCTGCACTACTTTACCTGCAAACAGCGTGGATGTAAAAGGAAAACATTTTTTGCATAACTCACCTTAGTACAGATCGCAACAACTCTCATACTCCTTTAAAGTTTTTCACATTTGTAACACTAACAGATACTTTAATGCTTTTTATTTTGTTCTCCGAGGCGTTTATGTATTTTTAAATATCTAGACTGACATTTTTAGGTTTTTCTATTATTGTTGTAAAGCAAAACTCAACTCAACATTTAGTGAATTTTGCTCCATTACTCTTACAAGCAAAGATATTTTGTGTTTAAAAGAAAGTTTTAAGAGTAAGTTTGCCATTTCCTTTTTACATTTTTTTTCACATTCTATTTTTTTTTAATCCTGTTTGTTTTTCAAACTTTTTTTGCAAATCATATTTCATATATTTTCAAATTAAATGTCTTTGTATTTTTTTTTTTACCAGGTTGAGTCTTATGAATTACATTCTTTTCAATATTTATTAGTCATCACTCCAGCAGAACTATAAATCCTACTGTTTAAAACAATCATTTAGGGCCGTGCAGTGGACAGAGCATAGGACCCATGTACGGAGGCCTTAGTCATCGACACGACCGACCCGGGTTCGAATCCGGTCTGTGGTCCTTTGCCGCATGTCTCTCCCCCTCTTATACAGTACCTGCTTTCCTGTCAGCCTACTGTAAAAAAAAAAAAAAAACATGAGCCACCGCAAACCCCCCCCCAAAAAAAACTATTACGTAGAAGTTAGATAATCAAACTAAGTTTTTACTCTACTAAAAATACACATTTCAAAACTATTTAAAGTTTAAAAATAAAAGTAATAGAAAAAAATAGGAAAATTTTTTAAGGTGCTTTAAACTTTTTAGTGGTTACTGCACTACCCTATTAAAGAAACATTTTTCTACAATTTCAGATGATAACTTCCTTAGACTTCATTT